TCTGCTGGATCCGTTTAACGGTTCTGATCTGATGGAAGCTATTCCGTCTGTATTTTCACCACATTTCATGGCTGTAGGAGTTTTATTTCTGGAGATACTGAACCCTTAAATTCCTCCCTGGGTTTCCTCGAGGGTGAAAAAGGTCTGACAACACTGAAAATCTCAAAGCCAAGATATTAGTTTAGGGTCCCAAATAACAAACAAACAAACTCTGAGCAGAGTCTGAGACGGTGGCCAACACTTCCTGGTTCGTTTCCGTGATGTTTTGCGTCGGTTCTTACATGAGTTCGGGTCTCTGGCGGTGGATCAGAGCGCAGAGGGCGACGCCGTTCCTCCAGGAGGACGTCAGGTTGGTGACGTCGACTCCTCTGTAGCCGTGAGTTTGGTTCTGGCACCAGGTCAGCAGGCGACCCGGTCGGACCTCGGACTCTGCAGGAGAAGAGCAACATGTCGGTTTACACAAGCGTTGACGCCGTGATGAGTTAAAACTGGACTCGAGCGACTGTTGCGGCAACATCCAGGTCAAAGCACGAACCGGTCGACTGCAGCGCTAACACGCTTCGATGCACTTCAAGATGCATGACGGCAGCTCAGCGGAGGGTTTATGTAACATGTCTGGAAGGTCAGAGTCATGGGAACAGAGAGCGATGGGCGACTGAGAGCTTGTGCTGATACCTCAAGAAAAATGAGGTGTTAACTCTACTTTATGGCCATTTTGAAGGCTGTGGTTTGTGGTAGCGTTTTGCATTAGAGTCATTCCACCTCAGTTCACCAGATGGCTCCCTCATGACCATCTCGGATTGGGTTGAAATAATTGGATGGAGAATGACGGATTATCATCAAGATGGCACAGCTGTGATAGTTCTTGTTCCAAAAAACAATGAAAAAAATGTACGTTCTTTTTCGTAGTTTTTGCCAAATTTGTGACAAGAACCCAACGTTGGATGACAATATCTCAAGATGTTCTCAAGTATAGACTACTAAACACTTGAGACCGTCTTTGTACGCCCATAAAACTGACAGGATTTACAAGAAAAGTCTGAAATTTTTGTGATACATCGTCCAATATGAGTTGTTCCAATATCCCCAATTTAACGAAGATGACACATACAGCCTCTGAGATATCGAGCCTCAAAAATGGTAAGTATCACCATTTTACTCAACTTTATGCGCCAATTGCCAATGAACGATAGGTCATACCAACACATAATCGAAGAAAGATAATGTTCCTAACTCGTCATGGCGCCTTTTTTAGATTAATTAATATTTCTAGTCTCAGCATATGCACTGAGGTACCTGTACTGTGGGGTTTAGACACCTCTTGTAGATGGGAAATGTGTTGTAAAATATGAAGAATGTACCTAAAACATTTCTTGAGATATTGTCATCCAAAGTCACGAATTTGGCAAAAACTCAACTCAATCTGAGAAGGTCATGCAGGATCCATCTGGTGAACTGAGGTGGAAGGACCCATTATACTATAACACAAGTCAAAGCCGACATCAACCACAGCCCCAAAATGACCGTAATGTTGACTCAACACCTTTATAAAACAAAAAATAACCATTATAACCGAGATAACTGTAAGATTTAGCTCAAATCTGCTGTATTAGACTGTGTTAGCTTTCTCTGGTGCATTTAATAAACTAGCAAATGAGCGAAAAAGGAAAATAAACCAACCCAAATATTTATATTAGGGTACATTTGTGTCGTTAGATAAATTTCTCTGTTGCAAAAATGCACTGTGGCTCAACATCTGTGGTGTTAAATGTGCCACATAAATATTGGTGACTTGACTTTTTGCAGGCTCGGGTTTCAGTGCCTTACAGCTCACTGTTTTGGTTCAGTCTCTCAAAAACCTCGTTTCCAACAGCAAGACGACAGAGTTAGTGACGAGCTGACGTTTCTCAGGATTGGTGGAGATCAAAACTGAGCAAAAGCGACTGAAAATAATACATAAGGAAGCCAGAAACACGAAAAACAGCAAGTAGTGATGTTGCTTTTGATGTATAAATACGCCGTAAGTTGTTCTGTGATGTTGTGTTTTCGTCATTACAGCATAAGTGACCAGAAAAGTCCATAAACGCTTCTTTAAGTGAGACAATACAGGCAAAAGATTTGGGCAGAATCTGGGGAATTTCCTTTTATTATTATTTACTTTGATAATAATAACTGTCATAACTTGTAGTGAATTAAAAAAAAATGGTGTTAATATGAGAAATCAACAGGGGAAGTTAAAAATGTGAAACTATTGGTCTGTATTGTGACTAAAGCATGACTCCCCTCTGTGTTGAGAAACACACGTCTGTACATGTTTCTGTGCCGTGTATCGATGCGACGCCGCTGCAGGTCAGCACACGTCTGTCAGGCTTCGTGTTTGACCCTCATGTGGGTGTAATTTTATCCGTCTTATTGTCTGAGCTCGAGGCGTGTCGCTCTGTGAAGCTACAGTTTCCCTGAGGGGAGGCCGAGCTACCGACACTGTGATGTAAGCTTCATATTCTGTAATGAATGAGTTCACACGGGTTTGTTAAAATGTTTAATTACTGCAGGCTTTGTCACGCTGACATGTTTCTATAAACTGTGAATGAGCTTCTTAATTTAGTGTTTCAGAGAGGGCTTTCGTCACGGCGTTAATGCGGCTGTGGACGCATCTAATCTCAACGATGACTCGCAGGGCGATCAGATTTCAGCGTGACGAGCTTTTAAACTACAGTATCGCCTCATACGAGCGTCTGGCAGCAAATCCTCGCCGTCACTGCCCCGTCCGAACATATCTGAGGCCTCAACGACCTGCTTTTATTATCATAGCAGCATCAACACTGCAGACAGAAACACAAAGTAGATCAGCATGTACAAGCTGCCGCTGACTAAGCTCCTCATGCCTCACTGTCTAAACATTAATAAACTGACTCAGACAGCAGATGAGATAATAAAACCATTAGAGACGACTGGTGAAGCCATTCAGTGGAGCCTTCACTAGAACCACAACTATTACCACTTTAACATATCCTCATTCTTGCACTCCAGCATTATTCAGCCTACTCAGTCCTCTCTTGTTTTTGTGTTCCTAAAATAAAATAAACTATTAGATGTTTATCTATC